AATTGTATTTGTTGATGATGACAATGATACATTAAAAATAGATCCAACTATGACACCATTGATACAAACAATTGAAATAAGAAATTGGATAACAACAAGATTAGAAAACATTTGAAAAAAAATTTTTTTTAAGAACCATTTATCGATAAAATAGTTGATTAATGAAATGAAATAATATATACACGGTTCCCGTCTTATTATTTCAGTTCGGATACGATTGTTTATATACTTTACTTGACGGAGATAGAATTAGAAATTCTCTTGTTTTTCTTTCTCTTAAGTAAAGAATATATTTAGTTTGTACTTTTATTTTTGTCTTTATCAAGTAAACTTTGGAAACCTTTGGAAACATGCACAACTCAATTAGTTTATAAAGATCATAAACATTATTTTATATATTTTTTACTTTAATCATGCATGATTTATAAAAATGATACCATACTAATTAAGTCTAATTGAATTTAGTTATTTTTTCACTCTCTGATTAAATAAAATGTTATTCTCTATGATTTATGAAATGATTTTGTTATATTGTCTTATCAATGGTAAATATACAATACTCAATGACTCAGCAATAAGTCTAAATTATTCTCAATATACTACAATTTCTTTTATTTTATTGCGATGCTTTATTGTGTGAGTGTTTTACTCGATTTTTCTATTGATCGTATCTTATATTTATGTGGATAACAAGACTTTAACTACAAAATATCGATAAAAGTTATTATTTTATATAATTATTTGTTTTCTTTTGTTTAAAATCTATTCTTACATAATTTACCGTTGAATATGTGTTAGAGAGATAACATAATTCTTTAGTTCTCTTCTATTTAAAGTTATTCTATATAAAAAGAAAAAGTAAATATATTTCAAGAACTTGACTATTTAGATAAGAACTGAAAAAAAACTGATATATGAAGTCTGTAGTTATCACATTTTCAAACTTGATATTTATTATTATTATAAAGAATTGAAATGACGTTAAATGAGAGAATTAATTTAATTGTTACAAATTCTCTTATAAATGAGTATGAAGAGAATGGAGCTGTATGTATTCGTCAACTTTTGAATAAGGATGAAATTGAATTACTTCGACAAGGAATCGATGAAAATCTTTCACATCCATCTCCTCATTTCAAAACTGCTAGTCAACCTGATGATACAGGTCGATTTATTGAAGATTTTTGTACATGGAAAACAAATCGTTATTATAAACAATTTATTTATGAATCACCATGTGCTGCAATTGCTGGACATCTTATGAAAAGTTCAATAAGTCGATTATATCATGATCATTTACTTGTTAAAGAATCGAATACAAAACAAATAACTCCATGGCATCAAGATCAACCTTATTATAATATTGAAGGAAATCAAACATGTAGTTTTTGGATACCTATTGACCCAGTTTCACGTTATTCAACTTTAGAATTCATAGCTGGATCACATCGTGGTCAGCGATGGCTTATGCCAAGAACTTTCATGAATTCAGAAGCAAAATGGTTTCCTGAAGGTAGTCTAGAAGAAATTCCTGATATTAATGCAAATCGAAATGCATTTCCTATTATTGGATGGGAATTAGAACCAGGTGATGTTATTGCTTTTCATATGCTTACATTACATGGTTCTCAAGGTACAAGAGAAAATGATAATCGGCGTCGAGTTTTTTCCGTTCGTTTCTTAGGTGATGATGTAATACATGCACCAAGAACATGGATTACATCACCTGATTTTTCATACATTTCTCAAGATATTAAACCCGGTGCTCCTATGAATCATCCAGATTTCCCTATCATTTGGAAATCATTATAAAAAATTAGTTTTGATTTATTCATTTAATTTATTACATATAAATATTGTATATTTTCAATATAAATCAATTATTTGTCTTTGTTTTATTTTAAAAATATTCTTTAATATTAAATTGTTTTTATAAATTCAAATAAATACTTTATTTAATCTATATTATTAACAATTGAATTTAAAACAAAAATTAAATCATCGTCAAATCTGTTCATCTTGAGGGTGTGGGTGGGTGTGGCTATTGGACTTGAATAGATATTCACACCCACACCCACACCCACACCCACACCCACACCCACACCCACACCCACACCCACACCCACACCCACACCCACACCCACATCCACCACCCTTAAAAAATCTTAACTATTTTACTCATGCAACAAAATTATTCTACTTGGCATCATCTGAACGATGCTGACATCTTTCTTTTTTTATTTTGTTTCCATCAACGCAAGTCATTGCACAATCAATAGTAATCTACGGCACGCCATATGATTTAAACAACAACATCTGGAACAGTACGACATACAAAGGTGAAAAACTTTAATTAAAGCATGGCTTCATTTCATACACTACCGATAGAACTTGTCTATCGAATCCTCGATCATCAAGATACATTAACTATTATATGTTCAATGCGAAACGTATGTGAACGATTCAATATAATTATTGATAATTACCATCCATATGAAGTAAGTCTGATTTTTACCGACTTTGCCATTCATGTTTTTTATGATCATAAAATGGTAGAAATACTGGTTGATTTTTTTTTCTTTCCTGTGTTTGTAAACATTGCATACATTAATATTTTCTCTTCAAATTACTTCGCGTAGACACTGAAGCAACTCGACGTCGAAAACATAGAAATTACTGATGTTAAAGCGCAACTTTTGGCCAATGCAATACAAAACAATACGGTAACAATCATTCTCTTTTACTTAATTTCACAAATCATTCATTCATATCTTTTCACACAGACAATTACGGGATTATATCTCATGGAAAACCAAATCGATGAAAAAGGACTCAAATACATAGTTGATGCGATTAGCCACAATACGGTAATTATCATACACTCTATATCTATCAACGTTTTCTTTCTGTACAGACACTGACTAGTCTTGGTATTGTCACAAATCAACTTAAATCCGATGAGTTGAGATGTTTAACTAATATGATACGATTCAACAAGGTAATTATTATTCATTGTTTCATCTGTTTTATAAACTAGCTAGATATATATATATTTATATGTAGACACTTACTGATCTAGATCTTAGCTACAATCAGATCAATGATAGAGGAGCATTCTATCTAGCCGATGCATTATCATATAATACAGTAAATATTCATTTATTCCTCATTTTTTATTTATTTTTATACATAGACATTGACTTATCTCGATCTTCGATACAATTATATTGATAATGATGGCGCAAAGAATCTAGCTACCGCATTAAAAGAAAATAGAGTAATTTTCGTTCTTTTTCTGTTTATTTTGTATACGAGTTGTCTGCATTCGATTAACTAGACACTCACACGAATCGACCTTGGCAACAACTGGATGTCAGAAAAACCGAGAGATCGTATCTATAAATATGTGAGACGAAATGATAAACGAGCCAAATCGAGAAAACGACGTCGATCAGATACCTCTGAGGAACAATCAGAAACTGATGAATCTTTAGGGTGACGGTGTAGGTGTGGGTGTGAGATGAAAATAAACACCTCAGCACTAGCACTCACCCTCACGATTCATATATTTCATGAATTTTCTTGTTAATTGTTTGAATTTATTTGTTTGCTGCTAATAAAAGAAAAAAATTAAAGCAAAAAGAAAGACTTATTTATCAGAAGTTATTTTATAATTAACACGAGTTGTAATCAAAATCAGCAACAAGCTTCTGGGGTGGGTGGGTGTAGATAAAAACACAATAACTATATCCAGTGGATATAGGGTGGGTGTGGGTTTGAATAAAGAAAACACCTCCACCCGCATCCTCACCCACACCTTCACGATTCTTACATAATGACATTTTTATCTTTGGTCCATTTTTGTTTTTCTATAAATATTTTATTAAAAAATATTTCTCATTCAGCAATTATGTCTCTGGCATTATCAAGGGTAAAGGGTAAACGCCAAAAATACAACAAATATGTTTGCTAACAACCGCATTGACAGAGATAAATAAAAGAACAAGAACGAAAAAAATTGTATGATGAAAATGTTGAGTACCATGGCGAAAACATGTTGCATTAGGATGACGATGCCAACGCTTCTCATCATTGATGTCCTTAGATTCTCTACGCTCATAACGCACTATATCATGCTTGAAATCACCGTCATAACGCCAATCAGTACATTTTCCACAGCGAGGGTAAGCATTGCTACGACAAAATATTTCTGCTGCATTTATTGGTTTTGTAATGCTTGATGCCATTTCTAGATAGAAGTATTTAATTTTTAGAGTTCATTTCACTGAAATTACTGATGTATCTGTTATGGAAGATTATTATAACATTATCATATTAAAAAAGTCTCTTGGAAAATATTTTCTCATCGTCATATTCTAGTCGTTCATCTGCTCGATCTCAATAAGTTGAGAAAAGGCCAACATAGTAGTATATTCCTACTGATCACTTATTGTCTGCAGACTCTTAAATCTTTATTGTAATCCAAAAAGTCTGATTAACGGCGTTAAGTAGCTATATTTTCATGCTTATCTGAAAGGATCCTAAAGAAAAGACTATGTATGTAAATCCTTCATATAATCAACGTTAATTATCACATTGATTGCACTTTTCAATTCTTTGGGTAATAATTCGTTAAAAATTTCCTCAGCATTTAGAAGTTTCAAATAAGGAAAGAGAGAGAATAATAGTTGATAACAATTTAGTGAAAGCATAAACAAGATGATCGATAAATTGTAATATTAACTTGTCTATAACCATCATATGGTTATCGGTTCTGCCTGAAAATACTAAGTATCTAGAACAAATAAATGAACTGTTCGAAATATGTTAGAAAATTCATACAGTTGGAAAACATCCATGTACACACGATTGACTAAATGTATGTATATTTGATGAAACAGAAACTTCGACAGCGAAAGCTTGATAATTCTCAAATGAAAGTTCTGAAAATATTCTGAGTCATCATTGTGAAAAACTTATTTTAATTGCATAGGAAACGCATATAATAAATTGAAAATGCGTAACGGTTATTGACGAACGAGAAACGGCAAGATTGGGTGTATGAGCCGCTGCCATAGTAACACGTATTGTTCTAACAAACTTGACTGAAATAAACTGAAGTGACGTTGTCTTACTGATACTTTTGTAACGTTAAAAAAACGGAAAAAAAGACTACTGTGATAGTCTTTTTATATTCAGTTTAGAAGCGATGAGAAAACGATGAGTTCTTTGTGTCAACATAAAATTGATAAGGACTCATAAACGATGATGGAATGTATATTATATTTCATCAGGTAGATAAGATGCTAAACAAAACTACTAGATTGTATGTGATGCTGGTCATTACTCTACGTACCCTCATTAAATTTACATAAGACGTGTTCAACAGAAGCTATTTTTGATAGAAACTTCTGAAAATACATATACTTAATACCTGTACGAATATCAAGACAAAATGGCAAAAAGATTGTTGTGTATGATTTCGCGGCAGAAATGGTTTTGGTCATTCACAATCTCATAGTAATATATCCTTTTACACTAAAGCTCATTAATCAAGTACGACGGCGTAAGTTTCATCAGAATGACAGTTACAAGTTTTAAATTCAGATTTTGGTCCGTAAAATGATGATAATTCGATTGAAAAAGCCCTTAAAGACAAAATTTAAAGGTATTAATCCTAAATTCTATCCAGGATTCAATAGATTTCACAATTGGAAGAATTCGAAGCCACACGGATGGATGTGAGTGTGGGTGTATATCAGCATCCTTTCTTTATCTACACCCACACACCCACACCCACACCCTCCGCCACTTACTCTTTGTTAAACATGGCTTTCTCTACGTAACATATCTATGGATATTCACTTCACATAAACGAATTTGATATATAATTTTTGCTGTTCATAGCTACAGAAAAGTAATTATACACTAATGAATTTTTAAAACATCAATTGCACTAAAAAACAGTATCATGGCATATGATTAATGAAAAAGCAGAATTTACGTAGAAGGATGGGTGTCGGTGTGGGCGTGAATGTGGGTTTGAATAAAGAGAACACCCACACCCACACCCACACTTTTAATAATTTGTTATATTAAAATCAATTCTCATAATATCAACATCTTTTCTAAGATGTTGAATCTTTTCTACGAAATGAAAACCTATTCTTTCATATAAACTCCGTGAATGTTCTGTCCAAAGCCAAATATATGTATAATTTAATTGTTGTGCAAATTGAAGCATTCTATTAATCATATACGTTGCTATTCCTTCTCCACGATATTCATCTTTTGTATAAACACAAGCTAACCATGGTGTTGTATTGTAATACGGATTGTCTGAAGTTACATCACATATTTCTAAACTAATTGTTGCAACTAAATTTTGATTATTATTATCTAATGCAATCATTAACATTGGTAATTTATTATGATTACAAGCATGTTTTTCTTTCATATCTTGTATAACATCATTTAAAGTATTCAATCCAAATGCAATGTAAACATCTTTCCATTCATTATAAAAGATATTTCCCATTTCTTCAATATATTCTGGTTTTTCATGTAAGAAATAAATGGAATATTTTGATAAAAATAAGTCATTATCTGATAATTTCTCTTGATTATTCATTATAGAATTACGTTTAATTATCATATAGAAATTTACAAAGTTTAGAAAACCTTATCATAGTTTAGGTGATAATAAATATAGATAAAACTCCAATCCTATGTTCTTAATACAATTTTTGAATAGATGTCACTATTAAACAATTTAATTTAAATGCTTCATTATAGTTAAAGCTATTGCTGCATTATTAAAAAGTGTATCTGAATCATCATAAATAGATATTCCTTCAATTTCATCAAATAACAGATATTATCAATTAAAGCAATATGCAAAATCTCCACAATGCAAAAAAAAATGTTTTCCATCAAATATTGATAATCTTCAGGTTTTAATGAAACTGAATCTGAAGTTAAGTGATATAGTTCAATTCAATCTATGGCAATCTGAATAAGTTCTAGTAAGATGTAGTTGCAGAGATTTAGTTCAGTTATGAAAAAGACACTCATCTCCTTCTTTCATAAAACGTTAAAAAAACAAGAGTTCATGCCGAAAATGAGCTATAATCTACTATTAATACTCCAAAAAAATTGAGATCTATGAAATCTTTTAACGTTTTGTACGAACAAAATATAGTTTTAAAACCATTTTTCTTGTCGAGAATCACTTTTCCAGAATTGTGTCCGTAGATCTTTTTGTCCGAGTAGGGACGAAAATGATCAATAATTCCATTCCATCCTCAACTGAATCGCATCGAATGTGTTTATATTGAACATAAGTTTATTGATTAAATATCAATTAGAAAACGGAACAATGAATGAATATTTGATTTTCTATCAGAGATTAGCCGGACACATTTTTTAAGACTTACCACGGGATGGGATGGGATAAAACTTTATACGGAATTGTCCCGCGATCAATATTCATTGAATTTATATACTCTAGTGACTTATTTACAAGAAAAATGCTAAATATTGTTAGTAACGGTATCTTTTCAAGAACATTTGAATGATCTTATTCGCTATTTCTTATCTCCAATTTAATAACAATGAACTTGTACTAAGTGAAAAAAAGAATATTCGAGAACTATATTGTATATTTGCTTTGTCTACAGCTCCTGTATAAAAGTCAAGTTGTAACCGAACATCGAACTAATCTTTCTTCATCTGAAGTAAATAATATTTTATTTGTTCGGTCAATATTATTAAATGGTTATTTTTCTATGAACTAAACTTTTTTCAAATTAATTTTCTTTAATTATCTAATACATTTATTTAAAAATGAACAGTTAAAGAAAACAAATTGATAACAAATTTTGATGAGAGACAGCGCGACGGAAAAATCCTTGTCTCGTCGATCTCTGTTTTCTATTAAATATCAGAAATTTAGTTCGATAATTTATTCTTTGTATACGAAAGTTTTAAAAAATAAATCTATAATTTTATTATTTTCTATATAATAAATAAAAATTATTTTTGAATAAAATCTTCTAAAGATTGACTAAATTCTTTAATCCATGTTGTATGATGTTGTTTAGCAATTGTATTAGTTATAACTGACGTATAAATTTTATCTCTATATGTAAGAATATTTTCATTTCGTGCTTTAATACAATCAAATAAAATTTCAACCACTTGTTCAATATTAAAATGTGGATAATCAATTGAATTAAGTAAATCAATAATATAATCTTTTTGAAAATGAAAAGCATCATAAATATTTTTTATATTTTTTTCTTTTATTTTCCATTGTTTAATATCGAATTCCATTTCTTGTTTAGTTAATGGTAATTGAATATTTCCAAGAATAAAATCTCTTGCATACCATGATTGAATATTTGTAATATTTAAACCAAGTGTTGCTCGTTGCATTCCAAGATAAATTAAACGTGGTTGATCTAACCAAAATATTGTTTTATATAAATTTGGTAAATAAATTGAATTCGATGATTTTAAACGAAGATTATCATCTAAATATGGAAAATAATGAATATATCCAGTACAATAAATAATCGCATCAAATCTTTCTGATGAATTATCTTTAAAATAAACAAGATTTTTTTCAATTTTAGTAATCAATGGAACTTCTTTGATTTCATTTGGCCATTTTAATTCTTTTGCTTTTGTTCGATATGAAATTTTAATCGATTTCGTTCCATATTTATATAATTCTAAAGCAATATCTGGACCTGAAACATTATTACCAATTAAAAGAACATTTCTATTTTGAAAATCTTCTGCAAAACGATAATCATGAGAATGTAATAATCGACCAGGAAATGTTTCAATACCATTTAAATATGGAATAAATGGTGTGGAATAATGTCCTGTTGCTATAATAACATAATCAAATTCTTCCGAATAGATTTTATCATTTTTTAAATCTTTTATTAATACATTAAATTTACTTTTTTCGTCTAAATAATTAATCCATTGAATACTTTTATTAAATTGAATATATTGACAAACATTATTTTGTTGAGCATATCCTCGAATATAATCATAAAAAATATTTTGTGGTAAATATGATGGAACTGATTGACCAAAATGTTTATCATATGTATAATCAACATATTCTGAACATTCTTTTGGTAAATTTGTCCATAAATTAAAATACATACTACTATGAACATGTTCATTATATTCATCTAAACCTGTTCGCCATGTATAATTCCATTGACCACCTAAATCGCTTTGTTTTTCATAACATATGATTTCAGGGATTTCATAGCCTTTTTGTCTAGCAGATTCAAATGCATGTAATTGACTTAAACCAGATGGACCAGCACCACAAATTGCAACTCGAATTGAAGAACACATTTTTTTGTAACTCTGAATTTTTATTCGTTTGCCTATACTCAAAAAAAACAAATAAAAGAATTATATATTAGATAAGAAAAGAAAAGAAAAAGTAGGTACATATATAGAATGAAGAAGATCTATGTATTTTACGTGTCATTTTCATCTCGTTCTGTTATGTCAATAACAGTAAGGTAACTTATTATTGTTTATAAAAAAAAATTCTACTTTAAATATATTATTAATAAAGAATTCGAAAAATAAATACAAATATTGTTTGATTTTAATATTAGAAAACAGATTCTCTCCTAAATAAAATAGAAGATGATAGAAAAAAGAAATAAAGATAAATGATAAATATTATACATCTTTTTATCTTTTCTTAACATTATCTAGTGTCCTACAATCTGGTCGAGTACCCGATCCGACCCTTACCTGGGTGCCGGGTCGGGTCGGTTTCAGGTGCAAAAAGTTGTATCCGTGCAGGACTCAAACATTCTCATCAAGAGAAATATACTTTTATCGAATTCTATATAGATAAAAGTACAGTAATAGAAACGTTCACTGAATAATTTAAAAATAAGAAAATAATATCTAAATTGATCGAAGATGAATTTATATTGACCAGTTCAAAATAAAACGAAAATATTTCATTTTTATTTTTATGATCACAAAATCTAATATATTGCAATTCTTATTAATTTATTCGTTTATCGTTATTGAAATGTATTATTTATTATTCATAATAAAGCGTCTTTATAAACTAATTCCTGTGTGTTAACACGTGTGAAAATATAGTTTAATCGATAGGAATTAAGATTAGATATTTTATTAATTCAATGAATATACAATTCTTGATATTTCTATTTGAAATTCATTGATAAAATCTTTGTTCTTATTGTTAATCAGTTATCTAGAGTTCGATGTATATTTTAAAATGAAAAACTAATTCAAATTTCTACACATAAATAATTATGTTTCTCTCTTGACTAATTTAATCCAAATAGCTTGTGGTGCAATAACTGCTTGTTCATTAATATTAAAATTACTTTCGAGATGTTCACCTGGTAAAATCGTATATTGTCGAAGAAGTTTTGTTAATAACATTTTTATTTCCATTAATGCAAAACGCATACCAACACAATGTCGTGGACCTGCGCCGAATGGCATAAATGACATTGAATGACGTTTGATTTTATGACGTTCAGGTAAGAAGATCGATGGATCGTCAGGACCCCATAATTCAAGATCATAATGAAGTGAATATACATCAGCATGAACTATTGTACCTGAAATAAACAAAAATGTTTATATAGAATTGTAACATATTGAACATTTGTTCGAAAATTAATATTTGATTATAAAACTTACCTTTTTCAATATTAATTCCTTGTACAATTGTATTTTCCATGGCACGTCGTTGAATAGCAATATTAGCAATTGGATACATTCTTAATACTTCCGAAATAAACATATCCATATATGATAATTGTGTTATTGTATCATAATCAAAATATTCTTTTATTTTTTCATCATCAATATCATTATTCAAGCAAAATTCATCAATTTCATTTTGAAGTTTTTTAAGAATATCTGGATGTTTAGCAAGTACATAGGTCGCATAAGCCAAAGCAGTTGATGTTGTTTCATATCCTGCTATCATAAACATAAGAGTATTACCTATTACTTCATCTTCTGATAACCAATTATTTGATTTCATATGATTTTCCATTAAATTCTATTAGAAATATATATATTTAGTAATTACAGTTAAACAGGAATGGATGTAACTTACTTGACTAGGTTGTTGAGTCATAACTTGTAACATAAGTTGAAGAAGATCAGATCTTGATGTAGGTGTTTGTTGTCGTTGTTCAACAATTGTATGTAATCGATTAAGAAGCCACATAAATGGTGATTCATCGAATTGTTTTGTTGATGATATAAATGGTAAAATATTTTTATTAATATATGTTATTAATGTATTATAAGTAAAATATAATCTTCCAAGAATACAACCAATTTCAGGTAATAATTGAGTCATTTTAAATAAAGGACTTTTTAAAACAGCATTGTTATCAAAAAATTCTTCAACTTTTTTAAAATAAATATGATTTGGATTAGTTTGTACATCAATATCAATTCCAAATGCACAGCGACCTAAAATTATTTTAATTCTATGTTACATAAACAAAAAAGATTAATGAGAATATATATTCTTACATATAACATCCATAGTTAATCGTTTGTAATATAAATAAATATTAAACTCAAGAGAATTGTTTGAATGATGAGATAATTTGTCCATTAAATCATTGATAGATTGATTAATAAGTGGAGTCATTGTTTTGAGTTTAATTGTAGTAAATGATGGATTGATAACTTGACGTTGACGACGCCATTCTGATCCATTTGTAAAAAAAATATTATGACTAACACTATCTAGCATAGTAATCTTTCGAGCATGAAAATTCGAAAATTGTTTAATAAAAACATCTTGAAGAAAATCTGGATCACTAACAACAAATACAGGATGAGTACCTTCATAAATTCCATAAATTTTTCCATATTGTTTTGTCCAAAACTGAAGTTGACGATGATATGATTCAGCATTCCATAATGTTTTAAAATGTCCAAAAAATAATTGAAAACATGGTGTAGAAATATTTCGTCGACTAAAATATTTATAACGTTCGCCAATTAAATAGAAATAATAGATCAATAGACTGGAAAATGTTAATAATAAAATCAATAATATAATCGACATGTTTTAGTCATAATCATACATAAAAATAATCATAGAATACCTTTATACAAATATTAACGACACGCACATGTTTTGATTTATTTTGATCAAAGGAAATATTTACGATATGCAATAACGTCATATTATAAATAATTTTGTTCTCTTCATACAGAATAGCCGTGCTTAGCTGATACTTATTTTTTTTGATTTTGATTAGAAGAAAAACAAAAATGGGGACGATCATATTGTCGCATATTAAAAATAAACTAGAATATCACTGATTGAATCTTGTCTCTATGTTTTTTCTATTACTAAATAAATAGGAAGTCATTGGTGTATTCTAAGAATTTAAACATGATCAATATTTTATGATTTTATTTCATATATGGAGATGAACATTTTCAAACAAATAAAAAATTTTAAAAGTAAATATCATTATTAGATTTATCAATTCTATTAATTGTGTCAATCGAAAGTTAATAGAATTTTGAAAAATTGTAAAATAAATGCATGTTTATAGATTATTTTTGACGATCGATCATAATCATTTCTATTTAATTAATACGAGTATACTGACAATTCTGAGATAGGAAAATACAATAGTTTCCATAAATGTTTTTTCCAAATTTTGAATCTTGTATTTACGATGTTTAATGAATGAATTAAATCTCTTATAGAATCAATACAATATTATGAAATAATTCTTCATCTTGAGAGTGTGGGTATGTGATGATGCAACGAGGAAGAGACAATGGCACCCACACCCACCCTCACGATGGTACTTTTTTTACTCACCCAACGAACGGTATTTTTCAGTAGAAGTTCTTGAAGAACGTTGCTACCTTCTCATGGTTACTGAACACTTAGTTTGCACATTTTCGGCTGCATGAAATATCTTATTAATCGAATGAACATTAAACTTATGCATTTAGAAAAATAATAAGAAAAACAATGTTTATCATTCTTTTATTACTGAATGAATCGTGGTTAAAACATATCAAATAAATATAACTTCGTCAAATTCAGTTTATATTATACAACAGTTTCATTATCGGATGTAACAGGTCCGTCATTCTTATAAATAACTTTTGCATGTGACATTGATTGTTGTCGTTTGGGAGAAAGAAACCAAATGATACTAATAACAACTACAATAGTAATGCATACAATTGATATAATATACTTCAAACTACGGTGCGTGTTCTGATTATCTTTTGTATAATTATTATTTACTATTTGATTGTTAGGATAAGTTATATTCAGTTGTATGAATTGATATAGCATAGCCTGTGATCGACGTGCTTGATCATAAGGTACCATATGACCAGCATTAAAGAAAAGAATATAAGTTAAATTACGTGCATAGCGTATAGAACCTGCAGATTCACCATCAACAACCCATGATAAGGTCGGAGCGATTTTTCCATTTCCTAAATCGAATCCAGATGCACCATTCCATGTCATGTTATCTAACATATTCTCTGCTGCCCAATGATTACAAATTAAATCATATTCACCATTATAAAATACAATTGGAATTTTTGAAAGTAAGTCAGGTAACAAGTGAATAGATGGTTTTGAATTTAACGCTCGAAATAAGGCAAAAACAAGTCTTGTAAAAGCTCTCCATTCAGAGTTCTTTCCATTTATATGAATACTAGACATAACATCTCGTCGATTTAAATAAGCAGAAACATATTCAAGTTCAGATGGCCCATTTGATCCACACATCGGTTTTTTCGCACCTAATCGTATGTCATAGACATTGATACATGAATCTTCTGTATTTCCTCCATCTTGTTCTTTAATTATACCATTATTCATTATCTGATGAAGAATATAATAACATTGACTAACAAAAACATTTACTTGTCTTGACAATATTTGTCGACATGCAGCAACAATCTGAGTAAGATTAGTATACAGCTCAGAGTCGTTTTTGACTAAATTGTTTGCAATTGCATATGGCAAATATGAATTATAAAGAGAAATTGGATCAATCCATCCATCTCCAATGAGAAGACCACGTAATCTGAATAATGATCGTTTTTCAAGAATTGCTTTTGCAATATAAGGAATATATTGACCACCAAAAGATTCACCAGCTAAATAAATATCTTCTTCAAGGAATTCAGGAAAAATCTTAACATAACGATCGAGAAAATTCAGAAAATGTTCTGCCATTTCATCGAGTTCTTTAATAAACTGATTTTGATTAACATAAGAAAACCCAGTACCAATAGGTTGATCAACGAACAAAAGATTAGCATAGAAATGCCATGATCCATTATTTGTAACTATGGTATTTTGATCTAAAAAGCGAAAAGGACCAATTTCTGTCCATGCTCCGATGAGACTACTTTGACCAGGACCTCCGTTCAACCAAATAATTGTTCTTGGTTTATCATCTTTGAATTTCTTAGCAAAATGCCAAAAAAATAATTCACCATCTGTTTCTGAACCAACTGGTAAATATCCAGCATGCATATGAATCATAGATTCAGCTTCTGGTAGAAGAGGTAAATTTTTAACATAGAAGTCACTAGCTTGTAAACTAGTGACATAATAATTAAACATCGAACAGAGGATAAATATTTGTATTATCATTATATAAAATCCGTAGATTTTTTGGTATGCCATATAAATCTATAATAAAACAGTTTTTTAATATCAAAGATATAAAATTCTTTTGATGGAACTTACTGTTGTATTATTCACAATCAAATGACATTATATTACGCCGGCAAATTCCAACTTACATTTCAAACAGAAAGAGGAAGAACGGAAAAATACGCACGTTTATTTGATATGGCGTGGTTATTAATGTAATTGCAGTAACAATTTTCATAAAAAAAAAGATATAAAAGCGAATGCAACTATGCTGACATCCTCAATTTACCAGTATTAATCTTGCCTCATTGAAGAGTAATTTTATCATAAAATGTATGTGTATTTTTAATAATTTATATTACGACATTGTTGATGCCAAGAATACGTTTCTCTGGCAATGGAATTAATTCTGAATAAATAAATTCTAATAATCAAAAAAATGATTTAATTCATATTAAGATAATCGACATGCAATCGTGCAATATTTTTATGTTAAAATATGAATAAGAAGAAGAAAAAAACATTTTTTTCACGGACGATAAACTAATCGATATTTTAAAGTGACACATTTCTTCTTAAAATTGTTTAAATAAAAACTATTTATTTTTTACTAGTATATATGAAAAAATGATACAACACTTTGTTTTTCTCTTATCTTAAATTTCGTAAAATAAAATTTTCCTTTGTTTTCTTTTTATCAAAAAGAATTTGGTATGTGTGTAACGATAAAATACAAAAAGAATGTTAATGTCTTATCTTTATTTAAATTTAATAGTATATATATATAGTAGACAGAAGAAAGATACATTTTAAAAATAAGATTTTTTGAGATGGGTTCTCAAATGTTTTATCGTGTATTATTTCTATTAAGTTTATACATAATTCAAACAAATGGAGCACTTCGTTTTGCTAATTATTATCAAGATAATATGGTATTACAACGTGCTCCTCAACGTGCTGTTGTTTGGGGATTTGGTGACACAAATGTTTTAACAACATTATCAATAAATAATAAAATCTATGAAGCAATGAGTGAAGATAAAATAAATAATTTGGGTGAAAGTATCTGGTCAGTAACACTTGATGCTGAAATTGATGAAGGTCCATTTGAAATCGTTGTAAGTCAACCAATTGCTAATGGTTCACTTGTTTCAATGACATTAAAAAATGTTTTATATGGTGATGTTTATATATGTTCAGGACAATCAAATATGCAATGGGCTGTTAGTCAAATATTTAATGGATCAGTTGAAATTGCAAATGCAGGAAATTATCCTAAAATTCGATTATTTGGTGTAGCAAGAATTGGTGCAAGTTCACCTGTTGAAGAATTACCTGGTATTGGTTTACGATGGTCTGTTGCATCATCAGCAATTGTTGGAAATGGATATGCATCAGCTGTTTGTTGGCTCTATGGACGAATGGTTCATGTTGCATTAAATGGAAGACCTATGGGTCTTATTAATACATCATGGGGTGGTACTGCTATTGAATTATGGATGCCAAGACAAGCTTTAACTGATTGTGGAATTGCAAAGTAGAAATTTTCACAAAAATTATTTTATTCTTTTAATAGAAAAAAACTTTTTTTTTAGAAATGAAACAAATCCACATGAACCAAATGAATATGATGATGGTGAAAAAGTGTCAGCAGTAAATACTGAATTATATAATGGAATGATTTATCCATTTACACGAATGGTTGTCGCTGGTGCTCTTTGGTATCAAGGTGAATCCAATGCAGGATATAATCGAGATAAATATATTTGTACATTTTCAAAAATGATTACATATTGGAGACAAGTTTGGAATACACGTACAAATGGAATTACAGATATTAATTTTCCATTTGGTTTTGTTCAAGTAAATAGATTTTTCATTCTTATTAAATATATTTCGACTTTTTCTTTTTTTTTATGAAAAAGTTATCAACTAATCGTAATGACACAATTGGTATTGGAGGTTTTCCATGGATTCGATGGTATCAAACGTTTGGTGTTGGTTATGTACCTAATGATGTTGTACCAAATGTATTTATGGCTGTTGCTATGGATTTAAGAGATGATCCAGCAAAGTAAAATATTTATCTTTTATTTTATTAAAACAAAACAAAACAAATTTTTCTATTTATTAAAGTATCCATCCTCGTACAAAACATGATGTTGGTTATCGTTTAGCACAAGCTGGTTTAGCTGTTGCATATGGACAACAAGTAGAATATCTTGGGCCTATTGTATCAACTGTTACTCTTGATAGTGCAACTTCAACAATTGATATAACTTATTCAAAAGTAACAGGAATCGATTTAAGAAGTCCAAATGGATTTGAAGTAGAGTTTTGTTTTTCGAAATAAAATATTTGATTTTCATCTATTAATCAATCTAGGTCTGTTGTCAAGGTACACAATGTTTAAATGATAATTTATGGGTAGCATCACCAGTTTCATTAAAAAATACTTTAACAGTTACAGTATCAATACCAACTACATGTCAATCAAAAACAATTTATGGTGTTCGTTATTTATGGCGTGAAACTCCTTGTGAATTTAAACTTGCACCTGTTTATAGTTTAACAGATCCAAATCTTCCATCACCACCATATCTTAAAATATTTTAAACTAAATTTTCTTTTCTTTTCATTCATTTTCATTTTTTAACTAAAATAAAATCTTATATAAAATGAAGAGTGAAAAATGTAACAAATATAAATAAAAGATAAGAAGTAAAAGTCAACAATTTTATTTTATCTTTTCTATGTACTCAAAATAGAAATAGACTATGTGTTGAATTTTTTCACATAGAATTATCTCATCAATATCTATTCACGATTTTCTTATAAAAAAACTATTCTCTCGTAATTGAAAATACTGAAGCTATTACATATCATTCGAAAGAGAATTATATGAGCTATAAAACAATAAGATAGAGTTCTCTATTGCAAAGATAGTTACTTCAATTGAAACTGATGAATACTATCGTTATGAGTCATCATAGTCTGTTCAGACATGAAAATTATTTCATGAAGAAACACAGTTAGGTGATAAATGAATATCGATGAAATATGAAAACTTCAAAGAGATACTTACCCTCTAGTTTTGTATGTACCATAAAACCGGATGGCATTATTTCTGGTTGATATCTATAACCCAAACATATCTAAACTAGGAATTTGAATGCTCTGAAAATTTCAGTTGAAAACGTTATTGCCTTTACGAGATATGAAATATGAAAAATGAACCTGTACACTACTATTCAGTCTATTCTTACAAGCCATAATAAGACATTCAATTTTTCTTATCTAATTACGTTTCTTTTTCTAAGTCTATGGAATTCCTCCGTAATTTCTCTTTACTACTTTAAATCGTCTATCTATTCCAATTATAAATATATTATTAGGAGTAGGACAGTTCCAAGTTCAGATGAACTGGTCAAAAGAACTGTTGGCACAGTTTAGTTCCTAAGAACGGAACTAATATGGAACTGTCCTACCCCTATATATTATTAATAAAATCGTTTTCAATCATTTCCATCGAGTTATTATCAATGAAAATTAAAATTCACTTTTTATTCTAACATTATACAACTAATGAGTTTGAATTAATTTGTTATTTTATATTTCATTGATATTTTATAATTTAGAAATCTATTAGTAAATAAAAGAATGTTCTTGCCATTTTATATCCATGGCGAAATAATCGTAAATTTTGTTTTTAAATCGCGATTTATCGCCCAAACCTTGGCGATTTTGACAACATGGGAAGACTCACTTAGCTCTTTCTCATAGAAACGGCGAGTCTTCACTACCAGTAAACTATTTGATTAAACAATTTCAAAAACCAACTTCAGATTTGAGTTCTCCGACCTCGATTAACTTTGGTCGAGTTTTACCAAAAAAAGATCTCTTTTGTCTCAACATCATTATTCGATCAATGGATGAAGTGCGGACATACAAGCAATCAAGCAAACAATTTATTTCTGTAACACTCTTCTCTACGAGAAAGCGAATATACCTTTAAATGAGAATGAATGCAAAAACGAAATAGATGTATTTAGATAGAGAAAAAGCTTATCATATAGCAAATGAAAAATATAGCTTAGCACAAATTTTTATGAAAATAAATATGGAAGACAAAATGGTGATTATAAAGTATTGATATAATAGATATCAACAAAATCAAGAATAGGGTGTGTATGAGATGATGACAATACGAGCACCCACTCCCTAAAATCTAGACTTTCATACTTCGACGTATGATGAAAGTTTGGAAAAAGAGAAATCCCGCTTTTTCCCTTTTGTTAAAACATCATTACAAGTTAAGTTTAATTTAAAATTTCTTTGAATCGAATTTAACTAAAAAATGAATCATAATATTATTACGTTATGATTGTGCAATTCTTGCCACGTATGCAAAAGAAAAAACAAACATCGCATGTTTCTTATTCATGTGTTATTATCAAATATTACAAAAACAATTTCTTTTTTTTAATATTTTTTGTAGCAACGATACTTATTGAAAAATGGAGTCATCAGTTGAAAACGTGGTAAATAAACCACCATCAGTACTTATAACTGGATCTTCTGGATCTGGTATGTATTTGTGTAATTTGTTGTTCATAATTTATACATAAACTTTTCTTTTTATTAAGGTAAAAGAACAATTGTTCACATGATAAAACATGGTAAAATTCCTGACGGATTTCCAACAATCGGTGTCGATTTCGTAAAATTAACCATTAATGAAACTCCTGTTATGATTTGGAGTATCGGTGGACGTTCAGGATATCGTCCTTTATTGACACGATATTATAGAAGAATGGTAGGATTTATTCTAGTTGTTGATTCAAATGATCATCAAGGAGTTGATGAAGCACGTAAAAATCTTGATCAAATAATTAATGATGAGTATTTTGAAGAAAAACCTATTCTTATATTTGCCAATAAACAAGATTTACCCAATGCAATGAATAATGATCAACTTCAAAATGAACTTCATTTAGATAAACTCAATAAAAATATCAAATGGCATTTGCAAGCAACATCTGCTATTGAAAATCAAGGTCTTGATGAAGGTTTCGAATGGTTAATGAATTCTATTAAAGATAAAAATGATAAAATAAATCCTATCATAGAAACATATAATGGTACAATTATCATGAAAAATGATTTCATTTCTTTATTTAATATAACTGAATTTACAACATTTATTTGGAAAATTATTTCTTCATCATTCAGTTTTGTAGGAAATGTAATTAAATATTGATATTCAATAAACTTTCGTCCTAAAATAAAATATGATTGGATGTTTTTTTCTCTATAAAGAAAGGAGAATAGACGATACGCTTGATATCGAATTTTATGAGATATGATTCATATATTCGATTTTATACTCATTAACTTACACGCGAAGACAAAAAAAAGATGATTGAAAGACGGGGGCGTGTGTGATGGAGAATCGACCCTTTAGTTTTTTCTCGGTCGAATCCTACAGGATCACACATCAATTGAGGGTGTGGGTGAGAGAGTTAGTGTTTGGTAGTCTCTCCTTTTCGTAGACGCATATCCACATTCACACTCACACCCTCGCCATTGATACCTTTGGAGAGATGATCGAAATATTCGTGTGAACCTTTAGCATTAATATATGTCACGGCGAATTTATTTGTTGCTTCTGGAACAGTATTTGAATAGTAGAAATTGTCCAATTCGGATATATAAATGATATGAATAAGAGAGAAAAGCATCAAAATACATAGTCGAAATTGTTGAATGACTTTCATCGAAAAAGACGAACCTAATGTGAATAAATATTGGCGTATTACATGTCTTTGATGTAATGCTAGAAGTAATCTACACAATTAACCTTATGATGAGTATTTTTGTGTTTGTCGTATAGATTGAATTCTGAGGCGATATTTTCCTTTGTCTCTTTCCTCTCTACCTTTTTTTGTATAAAAAGCGTTCCAATAAAATATGAGTGCGAGTTTAGCGAAGATACATACAAGCTCACTAACGCATACTCACCCATGTATATCGTTATAATAATAACTGTTTTCTCTCACGTATCTTGTTGTGGTTGTCAGGAGAAAATGTTGATAGTAATAAAATAAAAACAAAAAGCTTTTGAAGGAAAGAAAAAAAATCAAAGAACAGAACACAAAAGCTTCAGTTGTACATTTTGTTCTACAGAAGTAACCAGCACGTTTATTAAGAAAACAAACAACTGTATAAAATTGCCATTTGTTTTTAACATTGACTGAAAGAAAACATAATTTTTACTAAAGATTCTGACTTGAAAATGGCAACTAATGATATTTACAATGAAATATGTTTTGAATGCGGAGAATTTAGTGGAGAACCATTTATATGTAATCAATGTCACCAAACATTTTGTTCAGTACACATAGAAGATCATCAAGAAGATATACCAGAACAGATGCAGACTCCTGTCCAAAATCATGAACTTCCGAACCAAGACAAGAATGATGATTCTTATAATCGTCAATTATTTCATCGAATTGATCAATGGGAAAAAGAATCTGTGGATAAGATTAAAGTCGCAGCTGAACTAGCTCGAGTAGATCTCCGATTACTTATTGAAAAGTCAACGAACTACTATAAAGAATCAACAAAGAAGGTATCACAAGCAATTGATCGAAGTCAACGATTGAATACTTTTCCCGAAGTTGAAATCAATACCTGGATTCAACAGTTAAATGAAATTCAAAGACAGAGTCAAACATCCTTTTACACTACAATCAAAGAAGACCGACTTATATCACCAATCTATATGATTAAAGTCACACAAGAACCAAAGACTCAAACTTATCCGAGTGAGCAATCGGGTAAAAGGTCGAGAAATACAACGATTAGTAATGTAAGTTCTATGATATGATTAAACATAGTCTATTGAAAACATGTTTTAGTTGAAACCTGCAGTAGTAAATGATCCCAGTGATCGATTCGATGAAGTTTTTGGAGAAGCTAACCTGGATGAAAAGAAACTTGTTGTGATAGGCGACAGTTATTCACGTTCATGTGTCTCTGGTGTAAATTTATATTCGAATGGAAAACATTCTGTGGAGTTCGGTGTTGAAGAAATTTACACAGCCAGTAAAAATATAATTATAACTATAGTTGATGTTGTGTAATAAAGAAAATTTGTTTTAGATTGGAGTTGTTTCTTTGGTATAATAACATCGAATGAACGTCTGAGTGATAATATCCCAAACATGAAATCGCTTCATGGATTTTGGTCAAGTGGATATCATGTGATTTGTGGTGAACGATTAGGCGTAACTGGAGCGAGAAGATGGTACAAAAACCATAAGATTATATTGACATTTGATTGCGATAATGGACAATTTCAAATCGAAAACAAACGAACTGCTTGGCGACATAAATTCGATATCGATCCTCGTGCATGTCCATTTCCATGGAAATTTATTTGTTTCATCAAGGGATGTCAACTTCGTATACAAAACTAGTTTTAAATTTGACGCTAAATATCTTTCTGAATTATAATTTTCCATTTAAACAACAAGTGAAAGATGCGAATAAAATTAAAGCGAATATTGAATCATTTTCTTGAGGGTGGGTGTGAGTGTGTATGTAGAGATTATAGAAGATCTACACTCACACCAAGTTAAATAGTTATTTTTTTCCTCGTAGAGAAGAGTCCAGTAAACATAAACTGTTTGTTTGATTGCTTGTCTGTCCGCAGAATCAAAAAAAACATCGAAAATCGTTTTTACCGAAAACACATTTCTGGAGGTATTCCGATGCAAGGACTACGAATCTGATGTTAGCTTTAGAAATTGTTTGAATAAATAGTTTACTGGTAGTGAAGACATATTGGTTCTACGAGAAAGAACTGAGCGAGCCTCTCAGACAGGGTTGACACTGATATAATTAATAGATTATTATATTTAATACGAAAAAGTCGATTTTTGTGTGTTAATTTTATTTTAAAAAATGATCAACTTTTCAGTAGAATGTAATTCTAGGCATAAATTTGTATCTAATGTCATCCTTTTTCTAAGTAGTCTCTAAACATCACAATTATAATCAGAAATTCTATGTTGATAAATATAAAAATAACTACATGTTATTCATGATAAATTTTTACAAAGGATGTTTAAAATGCGAGCTCAACATGACCCCGTATGAATAATTAAAAAAGAGATGATTTTTAGTGAGAGTTTTTTTTCCAAAATGATATAATAGATGTCACGTAAACACAATGATTCAAATAGAATTTTATCAAAATCTGAGAAATACGATAACCTTTACATTACAAACGGAATAAAACATTTAATTATCCTATTTGTCAACTTCTAAATCAAATTCAGAACAATTTTATGATTACTAATCTCATATAAATTTAATATCATGAAAAACAAAAATATCTAGTCTAATAAATAGAATGTAATTAGAATAGAATTTCTTTTTTTTTCATATAATTTGAAAGCAACTATCTGTAAGTAATATATTTCATCATGCATATTCATAATTTCAGACGTACATAACGTATTATTAGAATGCATCAAAACAAGTAAATTTAGTTTGCAACATCATCAGTATTCTCGAAGTGATTATTAAAAATGTCAGTTGGTAGCAATGAAACTTTGGACTATGAAGATAGTGCTTATCCTGCATTGGAAAGTTCGTTCAGTCGATCAATTAAATTTAATATTTTGATTAGTTGTCAAATTCCTTCGATTATTTGCAACTTGATTATATTTTATTATTTCATTCGTTTACGAGAATTACAAGCAAAACGACATCATCATGTGTAAGTATTTTCCTCAAATTTCTTATTATCTAAAAAATTAAATAATTTTCGCTTTAGTGTAATATGTTTATTAATCTGTCATTTTCTTATCATAACAATGGAATTACCTGTTACTCTTGCATATCTTCATTTTGGTGAAGTTATTCCATCATCTTATTCTCTTTGTCTTTACTGGATTTATATTGATTATCTTCTTTTTCCATCAGGTGCATGGATAATGGCAATAGCATCAATTCAAAGATATATTTTCATATTTCATAAACATTTGATGAATTCTTATCTCAAACATTATCTTCCCATATTTTTACCACCTATTTTATTATCTATTTGGTATGTTGTACTTATTTTCTTCTATCCATGTCAACAACAATTTGATTATACACAAGCATGGTGTCTTTGTGCATGTTATCTATATGATGAAGTGATTGGTACAATTGATTGGATAGTTAGTACATTAATACCTGTTGTATTAATTGTTATTTTCAATATTATCCTTCTTATACGAGTTATTTATCAAAAATATAAAATGAGACGTGGTAATACTTGGCGTACTACTCGTAAACTTTCTATTCAACTTTTCTCAATTTCTTTTCTTTTTCTAAGTATTTCTTTACCATTCATCATTCTCGGATTAATTCGAGTTTGGATTAATCCATTATTTCTATATGTCTTTACAATTGTTTATTTGGCTTATGCATCGTATTTTATATCATTATTAATGCCATTTATTTGCTTAATTAGTCTCCCTGAAATTGTAACAAAGATCAAACAATTATGTTCTCTTACTAATAGAGTAGAACCAATACAACAACAAATTGCAACAACATTAAACACAAGACGAAACATTCAACAAACATAACATTTTTTACATTGAACTATTTTAAAAAATTTTTTTGTCATTGTAAATAATTCAAAATAAAATATACTAATTATTCATTTAATTTCTTCGATAACAATTATAATATCTTGAGGGTGTGGGTATTTTATTCATCTCTCGCATCATCCACACCACACCCTCAAGATTTCTAAAGGGGGGGGGGGGGCGGCGAGAAACGACCGCCCCCATCACCCTCCTCCTAAATCTGCCACTGAAGCAAGAATAGATAAAAAAAATCGCCTTAGTAATTTATTCTTTATCTGCTATTTTAAGAATTAATTTTCCTTGTGCTTTTCCACTTTTAGATTTTGCATATAGTGAATATAATGCTTCTACACCATCTTTTCGCCAATCAAATACTGTATCAATTAATGGTTTAATTTTGTTCGAATATCATCAAGATCTTGAAAATTTTCATATAATATATGACGTATATAACCATGATGAGCTGAACCAAAAAACGATCAAAATTTTCGATTTACTATACTAGAACCCATTACAATCAATGTTTTTAATGAAATAATAGATGATAAATCATCACCAACAATAGTAATAAATTGTCCGCCTCATTTTAATATTTTTTGTGCTGATATCCATTGTTGTTCACCACCAACACAATCATATATAATATCATAATTTTGATCTTAAGATAAAAATAAAATAGATCTATTTACCTTTAAGTTCTTCTCCGAAATCTTTTTCCGTATAATCAATAACATGTAATTGATTTTGATCATTATTCATCTCAATACTTGTTTGTGTTATTGTATATCCTAGAAAGAATAAAATTCTATAGAATCAATGATAAAATACACAAACCAAGTTTTTCCATTAAACTAAAATTTCTATGTGAACATGTAGCTGTAACATAAGCACCAACTGCTTTAGCTAATTGAATTGCATATAAACCAGTAGCTGAACTACCACCACAGATTAATATTTTGCTTCTTTGTTAAATAGGAAGTGAAATTTTTTTAAATAATGCTTGATAACTTGTGTCACATGCTAAAGGTATAGCAGCTGCTTCTTCCATTGTTAAATTATTTGGTTTGAATGTAAATAATGATTCAGGTTCACGAACATATTCAGCATAACTACCCAGAAGATTCTTGTTTATGTCCCAACCAGTTTGGGAACCGCGGTTTTACTGTCCAAACGGTTACTATCGCCTGCTCTGTGCGAAAACAGCGATAAACGGCAGAAAATACTTTAACGGTCATTTATTTTCGTTTCCACCTATCAGTCAGCTTTTCACAGCGTTACCCATGTTAAATCATTGCTGAAACGGTTGTATACTGTGAACAAGCTTTTCGTGATAGATGACAAGAAATGTTTTTAATCACATTAATAACCTATATATACTTGTCTAAATGCTCAAAGTAAATTAAATTTTCTATAAACCTGTGGTTCTGTTAATTATTGTTATTCACGAATTTGTATTTTTTATTTTTTTTAGAATATATATGAAAGATATTCAGATCGTTTGCAACTTTAATATATCTTTATTAACTTACAAGTTTTATTTTTAAAAATTATCCTCTATAGGTTTGCATGAGTATAATATTAGTCCTTCATGAAGTAGAACTTTGCGCAACGTTTGAAGTATATTAATCAAAATGATGTGCTTATACGAAGAGTAAGATATCGAAAGAATACATAAGAGTTTATGACATTGTTAATCAAATATGTTTAATGGTCTTCTCTTCCTTGAGGGTGGTGTGGATGAGTATTCTATTTTTTCCTCACTCACACGCTATTCAGGAGAAAGAACAGTAACTGGGCTGGAATTTCGATCAAATAATACGACATCTTGTTTTAGCACATCAATTAATAAAAGGATATTGCCACATATAACTTTCAGTTTTTTGAAATTGTTTGCCCAAAACTCCTGTATTCGTTCACTTGTGTAGATTAGGTAGATAAAGGTGACTAATGGCGAATGGTTCAGAAAGAGAATGGTATCCTTGAGTAGTTGACCGCCTATAAGGCAGAAAAACTTTTTATCTTCCAAACTAGTATTGAAATTCGCACATTCATCAGGGTCAGTGAACCATTCAATTAAAAAACTAAATTGAAGAAATTGAGCTAAGTTCGTCTCACTTGTCAATATATCCAAGTAAGTGATAAGACAATCGTTGGTACGTGGTCGTCGTGTTGGCTTAGTAGGAACGACACTATTGAAGAAAAGAAATGAGAAAAAATTGGCATTGATATGGTGTGAAGTGTTATCACGATTCATTTTTCATCATTCCTACAGTGCCAAATAAACATATTTCAGATAAGAAAGAAATTTAATCGTTATATTTATTTATTTCACTTTCGTTTAGTTTTGATGAAAAGAAGATAAAAGAAGAATAGTTGTATATAAATAAGGCACTTTAAAAATAGAATGACAGTCGAAGGGATTTAATGACAATTTATTATTCTTGGAGAGAAAATATCAATGAATTCGAACGGTTTGAAGTTTACATTTTCCAAATTACGATTTTGAACACAAAAGCTTTCTAAAATAAGAGCAAAATAAAGTTTTATAATTGTTCAAAGCCAAATAAATAAACACGATTTTTCTTTCCGAATATAACAATTATTCAAAGGCACAATCGACTGTCTGATCCGTTCGATGAATTCATCTGATAAAATTGCATTGGTTTTAATAAAAATCTTGTTTAATTGTGTCATGTGTTGAATCATAATTGACAATTTTTTGAGTATATCATCTGGTGTTTTGATGTGAATAAAAAGTCGTTCGAGGTTGGTGAATGTTTGAACAAATCTTTCCATTACTTGTTCATTAATGTCTTCCTGTTCTAATCCAGTATTAAATTGTAGATGCTTGATCATTTTATGTAAAAGCAAACGTGTTTTATCATCACTAAATTTCTTTGTCATCTCATCAAGTATTTTGGAATGTAGTCTTAATGAATACAAATTCGGACATTGTTGTAATAGTTGACAAAAAACTTGCGGTTTCAATACTGCACGAACACATTTGAATTCTAAATGATGAATATTGTTGCAGTTGACGGAGCAATTCAAGAAGGATAAAATATCACTATTATGCCATAAGAGGCATTCTAATATAATCCAATCAACATTTATATATCTATGTTTTGTGCCACGAAACAGTTTTTGATCCATCATAATCTGTAATGTTCGAATGTTATCGTAACATGAGTTCAAAGATGGAGATATTACATTAACTGTAGTCGTTGATGTTAGAAAAGTTGATCGACCGGATGGTACAGAATAGACATGGGCAATATCTCCATCTTCTTCAGATGAACCTTTAATCCAGTCGCATGCAATATAAACGTTCAATTGATGCCAAAAATCTGTATTGTATGATTTTAAATTAATATCATCAATCGATATTTCCCACAATGTTATGTAAAAACTGAACTTTATTAGTTGTTTTAGATGGTTTGTGATTAATATTCTCCAGTTTTCTGAATCGATAAAATCCAAAGTACCATTGGCTAAAATAGTAAATTCAAATAGTAAAAACAGATTAGTTGTATTTACGTTATTTTAAGTCACACTACTTGCGACAAGTAACTCACAGATAAATCATAAATAATAGGTCAATTTTATTATTTTCCTCTGAGAGCATCAAGTGTGTGAATGTGTTCCTGCTCGTGAGAATACGGAGCGTATATTACTAGATCGTATCATATAGAGTTTAATTCTATTAAAGTGATCGAAAACTGAAGTAAACAAAAACTAGTTTCAGGCTTTCTTATCTTAAACGTAGAACGACAGCAAAATCTCTCATTTCATTCTCAAGGTTGTCTTTCAAGTGTTTCACCTGAACTTCTCTAAAGCCCTGTTTTAAACGATGAACAACTTTATAAAAAATATCATATGTTTTTTCATTCTTAGATCATAGTTGTTAAACGACTAAATATATTCTGATCTTTTTAATTCTGCATCTTCAAATCTTTATAATCGCGTTTAAGTTTTGTTACAAAAAGAAAATAGAAAGCACTCATTTTTTATGTTTACCAGCTTCTTCAAATATTCAGTCATGATAATGCAATACTAAATCAGTTAATAATCACCTAAAAATGCTAAGTCTCAATGAAAATGAATAATTATGACAACATACTCGTAAACGTAAAATGTTTCAATTTTTCTCCACATTGTTTGAGTAAATGTTCTACAAAACACCATTTTACTTCATCTACTTCTAATATTAAACATGTTAAATTTGGCAGGGTTAATTTTTCTGACGGGTACGTTTGAGTCTGATCGGGAAAATCCCAAATACAAATCTTCAAATATTTGATGTTTGAAGCTAACTGCAACAGTACAGCAACATTTCCAACTCGACAGGAATCGATTGTTAAGTATTCAAGATTTGAAAGAATATTCATGAATGTACTACTAGGATAAAGAATATTGTCATCACTTAGGGTTAGATTTAATGTCGTCAGTTTTGATCGGATGATATCACTATTACATATTAAAGAAGAAATATCAGCTATTGTACCATAAAAAGAGATTATCAAACGTTTCAAGTGAGGAATATTGACCAACTTTGTCGAAATAACTTTTAGTTGAGTAGCGTTAACATTTTCCATGGTTATTTCTTCTAACTTGTCGTACGCAACTAGATTCATTTTTGCTTGAACTTTCTTAATAATACCAATCATTATTGCTCGATCGCCTGTAACAATGTCTCCTTGTTTTTTGTCAAACACAAAATCATTGGATATTTTTATAGAACGTAAACTGTTAATAACATCGGGTAGGATGTGCTCGAGATGATAATCAAAATCTCGTCTCGATTCGATCTTTGATAAACTAATATGAGTAGTGCTAGAGCGTATAATAGCATCGAGTGTATGATTGATGTTATGCAAAGATCGATAACGATCTGCAGGTGATAGGTACTGAATAATATCGAGAAGTATAGTGTTCGGTAGATCTGTTATAACTTGGAAACTTGCCATTATTTACTTTTCAGCAAAAAAAATAATTTATTAAGTCTAATAGATGAAACTTCTTGCTGCTTTACAATTCTAAAACATTTAACATAACCATCTCATTGCGGATGACAACACATACGTTGGGAAAGATGATAAAATTGAAAACTGAATCAGACTCAAAGAGGTGCATCTAAATCTAAGATCAGCCATTTTCTAGTATAATATCTAGCTCTTCAATTGATACTTAAGCGGATGATTTCGAGATTAAATTCAACAAGAATTATGTATCTTATCGATTCCAAAACTCTATTTTGGTAGGAATCGTGGGTGTAGTATCACAGAAGGGGCACCCACACCCATCCATCGAATTCAATATGTAAGCAAGTTGGAAAATGACAAAACTACAGATAATAAATGGATGAGACTTACCTGATACTCTGATTAGATAGAAGAAAAATAAAAATCAAATGGGGGTAAAAAGACACTATGATTATTTCTCAAATACTTTTGAATTATATAATTACCACTCTTTTCTCTAAAAATTCTTTCAAATAAAAACTCAATGATATGACATAGTGAATAACATAATATACAAAAGTACAACATGAGCTCAAACACTTCGAGTGGTTCCCTCCTTTGAAAAATACAGGGTATTTCAAGTTAAGGCAAAAATAGTTAGAGATGCTAACACCTAAACTACTCATGTATTTCTGTTCTCTTCTGCCGTCGAACGTTTCTCTATCGAGAAAATATAACAATGAATATCTATGAACATACAAGATGCAGTCATTTTTGAGAGAAAAGAAAATCTCAAACTAGAAAATCATAATCTAAATAGAGATTAAAAGGCGGATATGGTGCTAAAAAGAGAGAACTACGTTTCAGAATAAAGCAACGACGAATATACCAACAAAACGACTGACAGATGGAAAAAATGACGCATTAATATATTTAACTTTGTATGAAACTCGTCAAAATCGAGTATATCATACTTTATCAAAGGAGAAATGTTTTGAGATAAACCGTGGTGAAGTTGGCTCTATAAAAACGCGAATTTCGATGATTCTTTTCGATTACAGGAGTCAGGCTGTTTATTCGGTTTTCGAAACGCGGTATTGAAAAACTGAATAAATTATCTGACTCCCGTGATTAACAATAATCGTGTTTTCATAGAATCAATTTCAATACGGTTTCTCTCAAAACATTTTTCCTTTGCTAAAATATGATATACTCGACTTTGACGAGTTTGATAAAAATTAAATATATTAATGCGTCGTTTTGTTGGTATTTCCGTCGCTGTTTTATTCTGAAACGTAGTTCTCTTTTTATGTGCCATATCTGCCACTTAATCCCTATTTAGATTGTAATTTTTTAGCCTGAGATTTTTTCCCGTCAAAAATGCTTGCATCTTGTATGCTCATAGATATTCATAGTTGCATTTTGTCGATAGAGAAACGTCCAATAGAAAAAAAGAATAGAAATACATCACTAGCTTTGCCGTCGGTATCTCTAATCATTTTTGCCTTAACTTGATACACCTTATATTTTCTATGGAGAGAACCGTCCGATATGTTTCACGCTACTTGTGCTCGCATTGTATTCCCAAGAAGGTCTTGATTAGATCAGTAAAAGACCTCGCTCTGATAACACTTTAAGGTGAGTTATAGAAGTTTACTGAATTGTTGACTTGTTTTAAAATGTTTCCCCAAACATCAAATAATGGAATTTTATCTATCGACAAGTCTAATTACCTCAAATGAATGCTCTTATCTGAAGATATTAAATTTCCAAGTTAATTCGAAGTATGTGACAATCGACTGCTTTTTAGCTATTTTAAAGATCATTAGACCTATGTGTGCACACAATTTCAGAGTTCAATATCCCTATCTGATTTTTAGATAAATATTCCAAAACGACTTGACTATGGAGTAAATTGGCCATAACTTACCTTCAAAGTCTCATCAGAGCGAAGTTTTTCAGTTTTGTACTAGTACAATCGCGACCTTCTTGTGAGCCCAATATGAGCTCAAACAGAATCGAACACTTCAGGCGGTTCCCTCTTCAGAAACATACAATGTTTTAAGTTAAGGCAACAACGTTTAGAGAAGTTGACGCTAAAACTACTCATGTATTTCTATTCTTTTTTTCTATTGGATGTTTCTCTATTGTCAAAATGTAACTGAATATCTATGAACACACAAGATGCAGTCATTTTTGACGGAAAAAAATTGCAGGCTAAAAAATTATAATCTAAATAGAGATTAAGAGGCAGATATGACGCATAAAAGAGAGAACTACGTTTCAAAATAAAGCAACGACGGAAATACCAACAAAACGACTGGCAGATGGAAAAAAATGACGCATTAATATATTTAATTTTCATCAAACTCGTCAAAATCGATTTTTTCATACTTTAGACCTCGCTTAATCTTCATAATATATATCGCACATCGGTTATCAATGAATTTAGCAGATAAAATATGAATGGATATTTTATCCATATATAATTATCTTACAATTCTCAAAAAAAGTCAGTTTTCGTGAAAACCGAGGTAGAAATTGTGATTAATGCATGGAAAATACTCTAAATTGTGCCATTTTAAAAAGACTATAGTTCTTGAGAGTGTGGGTATCGGTGTGAATGTAAGTGTGAGATCAATATATCACCCACATGCATATCCATCGTCATCAACACTCACATTAACACCCATCCTCAACCACATTCACACCCTACATAACTTTATGTGTGCCTTCGAATATTAAAATAAAAATCTAATTGATTCTAATCGAATTTTTTCGGTTAAAAGTAACATCAAATTAGTATTTTAATTGATTTTATTAGGTTTTCTTTAAATTATAAACATCATCAAAAATTCAATAAAAATTTTATTTGGTTTCGATCAGTCTCATTTGAAATATTTTCTTGAACATTTTGATTATTTATGATGGGAAAAATGATATAGGTTAGAAAGAGGTTACACGAAAGGAAAAATCCAAGATAAAAAAAACGTTAAGAGTAGAATGAATCGATATGAAAGAGACAACAAGGACAAGAAAAAAAAAGATTAGAAAGAAAAATTGAGTGAGAGTAGAAGGGGATTAATACAAAGGAGATAAACAAGAACAGAAAAAAAGAATGGGAATACGCGCAGTTGGTATGAAAGAAAAATAGAAAAAAGATTAGTCAGCATACAGAAAAAAAACGACGAATATATACTTAGGTCTCAATGAAAGTTTAGTTACCATTAAACAATACAAAGTGCCTATCTATACACAGGTAGATATAACCATCTTATTGATAAATATAAGGTCATATTATTACTTTATATCTTGAGGGTGTGGTTGTAGATGAGTAAGAGTGATGGATACGAGATCCACACCCTCAAGATTTTTTAATTTATCTTTATTCCTTATCAAATAAAGATAATGTAACACCCATATTAGGGAAATTTGAAAACTTGTCAATATAAATAATTCTTTTAGTCTTGACTCATTACTTACAAAAATGTTTTGGCCAAAACGTAATACATCTACGTCGTCAGATGCCTCCGACGTATCTGCATCTTCAAATACTTCGAGTATATCTACACATTCGAATGCATTAATATATGACACTGTTATTCATATTGGGAAACTTAATGATCTACTGAAAGAGGGCTGGAAATTTACAACAGACAATTCATCAAAAGCATCAACACAGAGATCAATGGTTAACTATGAAGATAGTTTAATAGTTGGTATACTTGGCTCGTACAATCGTGGCAAATCTTTTTTGTTAAACAAACTTTGTAGAACCCAATTTCCTACTGGCCGTTTAATATCTACTGAAGGTATATCGATTGCAGGACCAAGAGATACTTGTAAGAACTTGGTGTTTATTGACACTGCTGGTACTGATACACCAACAAAAAGAGAAGATCTAGACGATAAAAGAGCCATTGAAGCTCTTTTACGAGAAATAGTTTTGGGTCTGTGTTCTTATATTATTATTGTAATGAATCGATTACAATTGACAGATCAAATATATATGCATGAAGTCTTGGAATATTGCAATAAGCTATCGCCAAATAAGAAACCTGAAATAATTTTTGTTCACAATCTATGGGATCTTGAGTTTGAAGAAGATATAAATATTGTTATTCAAAGAGAAATCGAAGATATTTTGGGGGCAAAATTAACAACTATACAACAACGAAATGATTCAAAGGATAAAGAACTTAAAATGTATTGTTCAACATTCAATCAAATAACTATACGTCATTTTATTATGGCAAAAGAAGATTCTGATGCAGCAGATAATTGGAATGAACAAACATTGGATAGTTTGATGACTATTCTACAAGCAGATCTACCAAGTCGGCGAAGTGCCTGTATATTTGATGAAGTCTTAATTCATATTAATAAAAGACTTCCACAACTACTTTCGTCTAGTAATGGTTCTGATACAGATCTATCAAAAATACAAGCCGTAAAACATGAGACAGAGCCATATATTGTGCTATCTGAACTAAAAGATGCTTCTTTAGAGAAACGCAAGCAACATGCTTCATCGTTTTCAGTGGCACCCAGATTATTGTATGATCAGCGTGGTTATTTAGTTGGAATTGTTTCATCTGGTACCGAAAAATGGCAGCCTCGTTATCGCCAGTATAAGACTACGGATCATCTAAATATTATAGTTGAACTAGCTGGCTTCAATGAGAGTAACTTCGCAGCTGAAATGGAAAGGAACGTTGCAGTCATCCGAGGAGAACGTATTGAACCCGCAGGATTATCTGCTCAGACAATTCCTGATCAATTACAATTCTCGATTGGCTCGTTTGAATTATCAGTTTTTGTTAAAGAAGATATTGATAATGATCAGACAGAATTCGAATGTAAGGATGGATTTCTGACGATTAAATGTCCATTAAGAAAATACGCTAAAAAACGATTTGGAACAAAATCTAATGCAGACAGTTCGAAGACACACACCGTCAAAGACAAAATTTGATGAATAAAGAATATTGAAATTGCACACTTTTTTTATTTTTATCTTAAATTTATCTTATGCATATCTACTTATCAATAGAAACTAAGTATTTTATTTCTCTAATAACTTTATTTTATTACCTATTTAATACATACAAGTATACATTAACTAGTATAATTACACAAAACAGACAAAATTAATTTAGAAGCATTTCTGGTGCTTTCTCTCTTCGATTTTGAAGGAAATGGTCGAATTTCATTGTTTTCTTGTAAATTTTTCCATCTATTGAATGATTGTGAGCTAAGTTCTCGTTTTTTATAAAGATCTTTTTATTAATTTCAGTATCATGTTTAATTTTGTAATAAAATTGATAATCTTATCGAGCTGATTCTTAATTTGTTCTTGAACCATTTTTTATGTGTTTTCTAATAGGTTAAATAATTATATGTGAGTATAATTGAAAAATACAGTTTGTAATCAACATTGAGAATGAGTATGATAGAATACTCCATGATATAAGAATATTTACTTTGTCCATCTGATTATAGAAATTATCAAGTCACTTCATTTAACTTGTAAAAATATTAATAATCTCAATAGAAAAAAGATTAAAGTATTATGTTCTAAGATTGCAACATATTTGACTTTTTGTTTTTAATTTCCCATATTTTAAGCTAATTATGCAAAGAGAAGGAAAATAATACATTCAAGAGTAGAAGATAAGTGCTGACACTAGACAGTTTTCTTTTATTCCGTATTTTATTTGAATTAATTTTTTCTGTTTTTGTGTAGTTGTACTAGTTAATTTATGCTTATATATATATTAAATAAGCAAATATGCATAAGATAATAATGATTCCGCTATATACACTTGTGTGTACATAGTCATTTCCTTTCATGAAAGAGCTTATCAGCATCGTAATCAGTTATTCATCTCGAAATAAACAAAATTTATTCATTCTTTTAATAAAAGGGCATGTCGAATAAAAGTCATGAGATTAAAGTGCACAACCTTTTCATAGATTATTTTTGTGATTAAATATATATCTCTCTCACATTTTCAATAAAAAAAACAAATATGGTCAATGAAGATAGTAATGAAATACTGATTACACATAACAATAATAATAATAATCTTGAACAATCTCCATCGCTCAAATGGAAAATATTTCATGGAATATATTCAATGTTAGGCGGAATTTGTCTTATTTGTGGATCATGCATGTATTTTGCAGACGTTATTAGATATTCTTCAATGGCATTAACTGCTGGTGGATGGTTTTTAACTGCAGGTTCATTTTTTTTGTTACTTGCTGATTTTCAACAATGGTGGTATGATCGAATTAATTGTTGTTTGGATAAAAAATCTCAAAATTTATTACAACATTCAAACTCAATAAAATTAAATCGATTGAAAAATAGAAAAAATGCAATAAATTCTTTTTTAGCTGCATGTGGTTCAGCATGCTATGTTATTGGATCAATTTTATTAATACCCGATTTTGAAAAATATGCAAATGTAGGTAATAAATTAATTATGATTGGTTCTATTATAATTTTTGTATCTGCAATTTGGAAAATCTATAGAAATGGTTCTATTAATATCAAAGATCCATCTGATCGTCATTTTCATTTGATAAATATTATTAATGATATACCTACTTTATGTACTGATATTTGTATTGGACTTGGTGGTGCATTTTACTTTTTCGGTGTTTTTTTTTCACCACCAAATTATGATACAAATGATTTTGATATTAATATATCAGCTGCTCTTTGTGTAACTGGTGGTGGTTTCTTTTTTCTTGCTAGTCTTTTTCTTCAATTTCAATATTATTGTAAACATCATCAATAGAAATAAAATTATTTTCCATGTTAATATATCTATTTCAAAAAAAATGTTATTCAATCTCTTATATAGCTGTATATATATTTTTCTTCCTTACAAGTAAGAAAAAGCATGTATTTACCTACATGACACGTGTGCGATAGTTAAGCATAAAGAGAAAATGTTATAATCATAACAAATGTTTTTTTACCTTCATATTTCTAACATACGCTGTTATTGTAACACATTTATTTTTTTAAATACAATTCAAATGAATGTAGAAACATTGGCTAATGAATTATTACTTGATATATTTGAATATCTTCCTGCTGTTTATCTTCTTCGTACATTTCATAATTTAAATACACGTTTAAATAATCTTATATTTGAACATTTTCAAAATTATCGTTTAGACTTTCGAGAAGCAACAAAACAAGATTTTGATATTATTTGTCAAGTAAATCTTCCATTGATTACGAATTATATTAATTTAATTGATCTCTCAGATAATGATGAAACTCCACAACAAATAGAATTATTTCGATCTTTTGGTTATCATCTAAATCAATTTCCTAATCTTCATACACTTTCATTAAATCATATTCGTTCAAGTGAAATTATAAGTGAAATTCTTTTAGAATGTCCACAATTAATTCGTTTAAGTTTAACTGGATGTTATTTTAATTGTAAACAAAATCAAATACTTGAATTTATAAATAATATTTGGAATTTATCGAAATTAATTTATTGTTATTTAAATCTAGATCTTAAACATGGATTACATATTGTCACACCAACACAATATTCATTATCAATAGAACATCTATCGATTGTTGGTGTACCATGTCGTATAAGTCAATTAAATCTTCTTTATCAATATACACCACATATTCGTTATCTTGCATTAGATTTATATCGTGATAATAATGATGAAGAATTAAAAACATCAATTTTATCAATAAATCAACTTAATCTTGTTTTTGTTGGTCCACAATATAGTACAATAGAAAATTTATTACAACATGTACCTAATTTATATGAATTAAAAATTGAAACTTGTTATATTGAAATTAATGGATATGATTGGGAACAGATTATTCGTAATTATTTACCAAAATTAAAAATATTTCAATTAAAAATGCGATGTCAAATTCGTAATGAAAAATCTAAACAAGAATTATTTAATTCATTTCAAACTCAATTTTGGTTAAAAGAACATCAATGGTTTATTCGTTATCATTATAATACTGATGATAATTCAAATATGATTTGTCTCTATACTTTACCATATCATTTTTCTTATCTTGATATTCAATTTCCTCTTTTATATAAATCAACTTGTTCAAATAATGACGATTATTCATCCTATGACTCTGTTCAACATCTTTTCTATCGTTCATCTTTAGTAGAAAAAAATTTTCTATCAAATTTTCAATTTCTTAATATAAATAATTTAACAATTAATCTTCCTATCAATGATCATCTATTATTAATTGTTCGGAAACTTAATCGATTAAATTTATTAGAAATTTCACGACCAAATAATATATCCGATGATGATGCTCAAACACAATTACAAGATTTACTTGATCATATACCGCATCTTTATTCATTAAATTTTAAATCATGGTCAGAAACAAAAGTTCAGAATCAACAATTGATAGGATTACAAAAACTAACACCAATCATAATAAAGACGCAGTTTATTCAACAAATTAATCTTCTTGGTTATGATCATTGGTTTAATGATGATGAATGTATTCATCTGAGTCAATCATCCATTGGAATTCATTGTAAAATGCTTTATATTAAAGTTAAAAAGCAAACATATATAACTGATTTAATCAAGAAAATGCCCAATCTTCGAGTATTAATTATTCGATCTCAGGATGATATTTGGTCAAATTATTCATCAGTAGATTTACTTGTTCAATGGTTAAAACAAAATTTATCACCTATGTGTTCAATTAAACGAGATTCTCGGTATATTCATCATATTCGAATATGGATTCATTCATAATAATACCATATATATATATTATCGAAAATCGATCTCTATTGACTATAATCGGTTCAATCTAGTATTTATTGTGCAAGGGGAAAAGAGCGGAATCCTGAATTCTCTATGATTCTCTAGAATTTCCCAGAAGTTGAGGATTGGTGTGTATTTGAGATTATACCCATACCTTAACCCTTTCGAGGTGGGATTATTTTTTGAAAATAAAATAAAAAAAGATTTTAGAGAATCAAATGATTTTATTTTTCATTCATATTTATTAATGTGCTGTATAAATGATCGGACCAATTAACAACACCATGCTCATCTACGTATGCAAGAGAATAAATCAGGAAGATACAGCATAACAGTTTAGTGCAGAGAAGAAAATAGGCTATAATGACGCAAGTCATATTAGATATATATCACTGCTATAAGCAGATTCTAACGTATACACAAGTACTTCTCATCGTCAATATATAACATGTTTCCGTTAAAAAAGGACTGTGGTATCTACGGTGTATCACCCATCCCGAAAGGGTTAAAAAACTCTGGTTTTCTCCCGTTAGATTTCACGCATATATCTGAAATCACTCAAAAACTTCAATCTTTATCTTTTTAATCCTTCCTCATAACTAGAGTGGCATCACAGACGAGTACTCTTAATTAAAAACATCTCATTTTTTATAAATAATGATTAGACATCGCGATCGAAGCTCAATAAGTGGGTTTTTTAGTAATCATGGTGAATATGCGAGCTTCACAGCGGCTGCGCTAACAAGTCTTTTATATTGTTCCAATTGTATTTATTAGAATCAGAATGTTTTTCATGATTAATAGGAACTGTTCACTTATATTAAAATTATTTTTTTCAATAAAATTAAAGAGATTTTATTTCTAGTTAGTATATTTAAAAGATAGAATGAACATGATATTCATCAAAACAAAATGTCTTTCACTATTTTTTGAATAACCCGATAATGTAAATAGCTAGAGATCTACGATTTTCATCAATCATATGAAATGAATTTTCTTCATCAAGATCGTTGTCTAATATTTTTCAGAAATGACTGATTTTATCGTACATAATATTAGCGAAAATCGCAGATCTGTATAAGAGTGATCAAATGAGTAATTCATATAAAAAAAATGCTTTTATTCAATTTTGTTTTTGTTTTATTTTAAATAAACGCACAAATCTACAGTAAATAAAAAAAAGTCGTTTATTGAATCCATAAACGTAAATCTTGATGACTACGTAATTCATAAGTACAATTAAAAAACCATTTATGATTTGCTGGATCATTGATAAGATTAATAAATGATCCATGCCGACAAAAGACAGTTGCACTAGATAAATTTGATAGTTTTAACCATGGCCAAATATCAATAGCCCATTTAAGACTTAAATTAATATGAGTTATATGTGAAAAAACAACACATAATTGTGATACATAACGAATATCATCACATGCTTTTGATGGACTTATCGTTAATTTTTGAATATTTTTTTTAAGAAATGAAATAACAATTTCATTTTGAAATTTATTTGTTATTGCTGAAAATGCAACATCTTGTCCTGAGATTGAATTTAATTGTGGCATTTCTTTAATCAATAATAAAAATGTTCCTGAACGCATACGATGATCAATTGTTAAATGACGAATATTTATTAAATTAATTAATGTACTTAAATGTGATACTGGTTTTTGCGAATTTTTATAATCAATTAATGTTAATGAATCAATATTATTAAAATAAACATCATTACTTTGACATAATTTAAATCCTAATGGATTTAATGTTAAGATTAATTGACGAATATTTGAATATTCATTTGATAATTTTGATGAAAAACAATTCTAAGAAAGAAAAATAAATAAGAATTCATTTTATTTAAATAAATATAAAACCTGTTGACGAAATGCAGTTCGAGCATTTAATGTTAATTTTGTATCAATAAAAGGTAATGTATAAAATACCGATGATAATGGATGACCAATAACAATCCATTTTTTTACCTTTGTCCACCAATCTTGTTCATATTCAAGTATAGATATATTTCTTTGACGTATATCAAATTTAAAACGAAAATCAATTAAATTTGGTAAAAATGATCGAATAAAACATTCCCACACCCATGCACTTTCACCACGACAACATATTTTTAATGATTTTAATTTTCGTGTTTGAAATAAAATTTTCGAAATTAAATCAAATTCAGCACGTGGTGCGTCAATATCAATTCCTAAACAAAAAAAAAGATTATCTCATAAGAAATTTAGACGGTGTGGGTGGGTGTGAGTATCTCTTCCTTCATTAAACGCCCACACCCTTCTCCTATAAAACTTGAAAAATCTGCTAACTTGTTATATTTGTGTTAATACATTGTTCATTTTGTGTATCCGATTGTTCAGAATTGAGATGAAATTTAAAATAAGATAATTTTGGTGCTGCTTGAAAAATTTTTTGTATATCAAATGATGTTAATGAACCTAATGTTAAATTTTTTAAATATGGTAATGACATATTTTCCGGTAATGTAATTGGTTCATCTGGATCATCGATAATTGTTAAAGATTTTAATGATGAACATAATACAGAGGAATATAAATTTGTATAAACAATTGATGGCATACGTACTAATGTTGAAAGACGTATTGATAAATGTTCAAGTTTGGAGAAATATTTCATTAATTTCTATTTAAACAAAAAAAAATATATTGAAGAAAAATAAAAAAAATTATTATTTTACAATTAAATCAGTTTGTTCTGGTTGATCAAGAACTAAGATTTTTAAATTAGGAAATAAATCAAATGAATATAAATTAAAAAATAAATTTATTAATCCTGGTGTATTATCATCATTAAATAAATGAATTTGACGAAGAATTTTTTGATTTATAAGAGAATTTTTATATATCAAATGAATTAATTGTGAACGTTGAATTGATCGAAAATTAATTGATGTACGATTACGAATTAATTCATCAAAACGTTTATTTTTTAATGTAAAACAAAATGAATTTAATAATTCTCGATCAGTTAAATATGAAAATATTTGATAAAATATTTCATTTGGTAAACATTCAATATTTGATAGAACTAAAAATAGAAAAAAATCAATTGAAAATATTTATATAGAAGTTATATTACTCTTTTTATGTTTAATTGATGTTTTTAATCGTTTCGATATTTTTTCATGTTGATAATCAGATTTAAATTTTCGTTTTTTTGAACAATGTTCAGTTAACATTATTCTTTTTTTGAAGAAATACTTATCTAGAAATATAAGATCTACTATTCTTTGTTCGGAAACTAAACTGTCGTTATTATTACGTGTTAGATAAATACTGGTGAATCATTAATTCAACTGGATTTGAATTTTTCGCGTTCAAAATAAAAAAATAGATGTCGCACATTACTTTAACAAATTCGATTTTATTATCGATAAGAAAATTGTCGTATCAATATTTATAGTATTACATGTCAGAAAAATGTACAAATATATTTGTAAGACATTCTGAATATTATCAAATTCATGGAATAAATATGATACATTATATTCTATACAGTACTTATTAAAAGTCATATGACCTTTAGAAAAATATAAATTGTCATGCTGTGTAATATCCTCTAGTTTCAATTAGTAGGATATATATATATATTAATAATTCATATACATATCATCTTTTATATATATATTAATGATATAGATTTAGAGTGAAAGGCGACTACAAATTGTTTACCCAGGAATGAGAGATATGTAGGTTTGTAGAGAAAAATTTTCTCTATTAAATGCTTCAATTCAATCCAATTAGAGACATGCGTCGGAGTCAGTTAAATCTCGTGCCTACAATTCAGTTTTTACATTAATTTTTTTTTGAGGTGAAAGTTTTGTTCTTTGATATTTACTCTACAAACTGATGTATTTCGAGGATTCAAATCAATGTTTTATTGAGGTTCACGGACACAAAAGATAGTTGGATGCATGTCTCCAAATGGCTTGAATTCAAGTCAAAAATCGATTTTTACGGTACTCAACAGAATTCGATAGAGAAAGTTTTTCTCTACAAACCTACATATAAATTTTACTATGAAATTATTTCAAAAGGATTTAAATGAAAATTTAATTTTGTTTTTTGTTCTAATATTAAATTATCAATTTTCATAGTGGTATGATCCTTGATGCCATCAAATTTATTAATGTCGATGTACCATATCAACTTACATACATAAACATTTGTTTTTATGTGACAGAAATCTAAATAATTTCTTGTATATATACACGTTTTTTTTCTTGTTGAAATAAATAAAAAGTATTTTTGATATAAAAATAATTCATTTATGTCACGTCTTGATATTCAATAAAATACGATCGTCGGAAAAGGTATCTTTGTTGAAGGAAAGAAAGAGAGAACGAAGGATGAAAAGATATATATATATATGTGTATGTATTGGATAAAGCCATAACAGAAAAGGGAAAAACACCATGACATTGTTAGATGATATGAAATATTCTACTATATCACAATTGAAATAGTCAATTATTAAAATAATTAGATCTGTTAATTAAATTAAGTGATTATTGTATAATGAACGAGATGTAGGTTGTGCGTGATGATGAACATACACACCCACATTCATTCTCTTTTTAATTTTACAAAATTAATCTTTACATGATTAAAAATGATCCGAATCTCGTTTCTTACGTCTATATGATTGATCGATATTACGTTGACTATTACTCATTTGTCTATATCTGACACTGGCAATGATCTTAACAAACAGACATCAGATTAATTATTCATTGGAAAAACACATTTATCTTATATTGTTTTCAGCGTGGGAGCAAATTCATGACTTTAAAAATTTAGTATTTCTCAATTGAAAAAAAACAATGCTTCAATTCTGTATATAATGGTTAATACATTTGTTATTTTTTCTTGTTATTAAGAGTAAATATTGCATTATGTGCGTAAAATAAAGTACTATTGTTATTAAATATCGATTAGTACATCCTGTTTTTTTTCACATAACAAAATGAATATTTTCTTATTCATTATTTTCATCTATAAGTTCGAATAGTTATTTTAAAAAACGATTATGTATTATAATAAATATTCTAAGAAAAGTACTATGCAATTACATACGATGGTGAAATCTAGTTGGTTAATATCCCGAAGCATGTAAACTACTCATTACAAATACTAAAGTATCATATTATCTTGCGGCTATTCTCAGAAGCGAAAGATTATATATCTTTATTTGATATATAGATTCAACAGAACTGATAATTATCAAAAAAAAAGTCAATCAATGAATAGAAATTTTTTTAATGAGAGTAAATAAACAAGATATAAATCACATATATATATATATATATATATACCAATAATTAGAATAAAAATATATTCGGAACAAAAATATTATCTAACTATATATAGATGAATGTATTGAAAATAAATAATTGTTTAATAATTTCTAAAAACTGTACGATTATTAAGTGGTTGAATTGGTCGATAGACTTTTCTCATCAAATTTTGACGTAATTGATTTAAACTTTCTTCTTTTATTGCAATTTTTTGTATAAATATTGTCCAAATAACTCCTTCAGTACAAGGTGGTGTTGTTAAACTACCTGTATAACGAAAGAATTGTCTATCATTTGCTTGCATTAATTGACTTAAATCGAACATACATTGTATAGTATCATTTTGATTTGTTAATTGACTTGCAGCATCACAATATTTTTCCCATTCTTTATTTCCTTTTTGTGTTTGATTACAAACGGTAAATATATATGCAAATACAGCTAATTGTCCTGTTTCCTGATTTTTAAAAACAACATGTGCCTCAGCTGGATATTGATAGCCATCAATTTCATGTTCGGAACCATGTCGATCATCTCGACCCCAATGTAAATGAAAATTAACAAAATAAAATCTTCCTGTTAACCCACTACCATTAAACCATAAATCTTTTTCGCTTTGCCCGTATGTATGATCAGCTAATGTTGCCGTCACCTGATGTCCATTATTAATTAATTTAAATAATTCATTTGAATGATATTTATCAGAAAATACAAATGGAGGATAATGATGTGGAATTGTTTTATGTGCATGGATATCAATAGGTGATTGACATAATCCAGCAGCAGCCGGAAAATGTTTTTGCCATTCAGAAGGATTATCATAGTCCCAATAATCATCAGAATGTGTAGTACAAGACATCTTAATATATAGAAAAGAAAAAAAACGGAAGTTTTTATACGAGTATTTTTTTTTAATATATATTTGTATTTTTAGTGACGTGCTGATAATTACTTTACAGTTAGAAGAGAAAAAAGTGCGTGTTTGCTTTTTCCTCGCTTAATGCTTCCTTTTATACTGATTATTACTGTGCTCACTATAAGAGAAACAGAATTATTCGATGCAAAGATGACGTTCTTCTTATTCGTCGAACTTTACGGAAAAAAAAAGAATATTCTCTTTTTATATATATACTAACTAAAAATAGGATCAAGTATAATCCGTCTTTTAAAGATGTAAACTATATAAGAAATACTTCTCAATGTAAAACTAGACAAAGTATTAATCAAATCGTATTATTTTAAAACTATCGATGTATACTCATTACTCATGAAAAGCACTAGCTAATCAAAGATAACAGGTTCTATATTGATATGTTGTCATAAAAAAAGAAAATCGAAGATGAAATCTATTTCTATGTATATAAATAACGGCTTACATAGAAAAGAAAACACAATCCGAGGAGCGCGTGATTGAATTGAGAAAACAAAAAAAAAAAGAGAAGGAAAAGGAAACAATTTGTTTCTATACTACTATAGATGGCACAGCTTAGCAGATCCATTTACTAAAAATATCTCGAAAAATAGCGTGACAAATAAAACGAGAAAAGAAGAAGATGAAGAAGATGAAGAAAAAAAAAGAACAGAACGACAAGAAACATCCGTATAACTCATCTAATATATTAATCTCATTCAACTGCTCGCTGATAGTGTTTGTAATAAACCATTGAAGTGTGCTATTGAGATGACATTCTCCAACATATCATAGTCATAAAAGACAATTGCAACAGAATAAAATAAAGAATTACTATATAAGCAAATAATTTCTTTTAACGGTCGAATTTATTACTATTATTTAGAAGAAAAAAAAAAGAAAATTTTTTTTTGTCTTTATAAAAGTCTATCTTTCCAATGAAATGTTATAAATGCAATCAGTTTATTACAAAATAATTAAATTAATGTACTTTAAAATTGACATACACAAAAAAGTACAAATATCTGTAGACACACAACAATATGATATGCATCGAGGGCTATTCATAAAAGGACGTCTACGTAAACGAAGGAGGGGTGGGCAGACAGGCAACAAATCGATGTCATATAGTGAATAGTTGAATTCTCTGATAAAATATACATACAAGTATATTTTTTAAATAAAAAGAAAATTCTGATTTGTTAAAAAACATAAATTGTTTCATAGTTATTATAATAATCTTTCCTTGAAAAATCAATTGAGTAAATATCGAATATTTTATTTATTCTATCTAATATACAACAAAAGAATTTTGTTCTTGTACATGAATTATTGAATTCCCTACTATAGATTAACTAATTTTGTAAGTGTTAAAGATTCCTCTTAGATAACTATCTGTAATCTATATACTTTTGTGAAATACTAATAAATAAATGATCAGTCTATTCACGAATATATTTCATTAACTTCTTTTTTTCTCTCCTAATAATAAAGTACATACTCGGAAATAAAATGAACTTCCGCTTTACAAGACAATTCATCTAACTAATGACTTGTTTTTTTCAATTCTTTTCTCCTCCTTATCATGCAAATCAAATAGTTGATAGAATAATTGCTTTATTTTAAATCAATACATCGTAATAAGTATTTTTAATTGAGAAAAAACAATATTCCTATAGATAAATATTTTAGTAACTTCGAAAAATTGGTCGATTATTAAGTGGTTGTACAGGTCGATAAACTTTTCTCATAAGATTTTGACGTAATTGATTTACACTATCTTCATTTATTGGAATTGTATTTGTAAATATTGTCCAAATAACACCTTCACTACATGGTGGTGTTGTTAAACTTCCCATATAACGAATAAAACTTCTTTCATTAACTTGCATTAATCGACTTAGGTTAAACATACATTGCATTGTATCATTGGCATTTTTTAATTGACTCGATACATCAGTATATTTTTTCCATTCAAGATTTTCTCCAGATGGATCATTAGTAATAGTAAATAAAAATGCAAATACAGCTAATTGTCCTGTTGCCGGATTTTTAAAAACAACATGTGCTTCAGCTGGAAAACGATATCCATTTATTTGATGTTCGGAACCATGTCGATCATTTCGTCCCCAATGTAAATGAAAATTAACAAAAAAAAATGTTCCTTCTATACCACCACCTGTAAACCATAAATCTTTATCACTTTGTCCATATGTACGATCAGCTAATGTTACCGCTACCTGATGACCATTATTTGTTAATTTAAATAATTCATCCGAATAATATTTTGAAGAAAATACAAATGGTGGATATGACTGAGAAATACTTTCATTTATATTTATATCAATAGGTGATTGAGATAAACCAGACGCTGCTGAAAAATATTTTGGCCATTCAGATGGATTATCATAATTCCAATGTTCGGATTCTTCTGTACAAGGCATTTAAATCTAATTGTCAATAGAAATTATTTATTGATGTCAATGTATTTCATATAAAAGACGTCTTTATATTTATATGTAGGGTGACGCCTATATAATTTAATATTGATGACATCAAAAATGAGGAAAGGTAACTCACAAAAGTGCGTTCTTTTTCTTTCTTCACTCGTTTTGCAATGGTGAATATGGTGTCTATAACAAACATAAAAAAAACAAAACATGTAGCTTACTCAATCCAATCGATTGATTGAGGAAGAATATAATATAAAATAATTCATCATAGCTTAATTGTTTTTTTCAAATAAGATAAATCACTGTTGTGTGATAGAAAAAAAAACAGTAGGCGATTTAGAGTCTTTTCTTATTTCGAAATATGATTGTCAATAACATGTGCCTAAATTGATATGTCAATAAATATAGATTGTATCTTTCTATGAATGCTTATCGATTTTTATTAGTCATAAAATATTGATTAAAATTTTTAGAATTTATTTCACCAATATTTTTTTTCTTTGCTCGAAAAGTTTTATTTTTAAAAAAAAGCTAATGTTTCAGCAAAATCGATAGATTAGATTCTGATTTTTATCTCATATTAATCAAAGGTTATAGACATTCTTCAGAAAACAACTGATTCTACTCTACAGCACGACAACGGTATCAAAAATACTCGATAAGTTTATTATGAAATATACAGAGTATCGTGGCGTCATCTGAATAGAATCAGATTTATCCTGAGACTATAAATGCGGCTAGTATATTCACATCAGCCTTTTCATATATTGAATATTTTAAAATACTGATTACTATTTCACGATAATTCCCTATTTGAGGACTATCAATATTTTTTTGTTAATCACTCTACATTATCTCTGTATATGAAATAAATTGAATTTTTTTCAATTCTTTATCATATAATAGTAATTTTTACTTTATTATCCGAGCTCCGTCTAATTGAATTGTTTTATAATAATTATAGAAAATGAATTCAAAACAAAATTGTTCTCATATGATATTTCAATTTATGATAATATTAAATATATACGTTCAATAAAAAAATATATCCGACGTATTGCTTTAGGTACCTTTGTCATTGTTCTGCACTTAGAAATCGCTTTTCTCTGATCGTACATGTATGACATGATGAAACTTTCGTTCTTAAACTCCATACTTTTATCAATGTGTGATTGATTCCTCACAGTATATCTTTAAGAAAAAAATTTATTGTATTTCGAAATCATTTAATACTGTTGAAAGTCGATGAATATTATCTTTGAGTATTCCTTGTTCAGTTGAATTTAATGGATGTTGTACATAAATAGATAATGCTCGTTTATAATACTCAAGTGCGATTTTGAGTTGATTAAGATGTTCATAACATTTACCTATATTTGATAAACTTTGGGCAATATTTTGATGATTTGGTGATAAGTTTTTTTCGCGAATTAAAAATAGTTTCATTTCATATGTCAAAGATAGTTGATATTGATTGCGAGCTTGTTGAGTTTCACTAAGACAGGACAGAATTAATGTAATATCTTCTTCTCCTGGAGAAAGACTAGCTTCTCTGATTTTTAAACATTGTTCAAGGCACTCGATTGTACGATCAAACGATCTTTGGTCATTCCATAAAGTTGCAATCCAAAAGAAAAGGATTGCAATTTGAACATGATCAGTTGGATCAAATTCTTTCAGTAATACTATTGCACGTGAATAATAATCGATAGCATCATCAAGTTTCGCTTGACTGGATTTCGTATGAGCAATATTTATAAGACTACTAACAATGTCTTTATAAGATTTTGGATGTTTTTCTTGAATCGCTAATATTCGTTGTCGATAGTTTAGTGTTTCTTCAGATTTTCCACTATTATCTAAAGTCATAATGATATTACTGAGACATACAATCATATCTTGAAGACGAGATGAACAATAGTTCTCGTAGATTGTCAATGCTTTTTGATAATGAATAAGAGCTTCATCGTACTTTCCATCGTTATATTTTATGGTTCCCATACTATTGAAATTAGAAGCAATCTGTGTATAATTTAAAGGATCGTATGTTTCCCTCATATTCAGTGATTTTTGTTGATAACTGAATGCTTCAATATACTTTTCTTGTGCCAATAAAGCATTTCCAATATTCCATAATATGATGCTAATATATTTATAATTAAGTGAATCAAATTGCTCGCTAAATGTTAATGATTGTTGATAGAATTCTAGAGCTTGATCAAGTTTATTTTGACTATATAACACATTTCCTATACTATTTAGAGTAATACCTATATTAATATTATCTGACATATTTTGTTCTTTTTCAATTAATAAAGCTTTCTCAAAAGCTTCAAATGCTTCGTCATATTTGTTTAATGCATAGAAAGTATTACCAATTGATTTGAAATTAATCGCAATATGTTTGTTATTATTTGAAGAATATAAATTTGTTCCCATTTCCAGCGCTTGTTTATAATAATCAAGAGCTTCACTAGTTTTGTTTTGATCTTTGTAAATATCACCAATAGATTCAAGAGTATCAATAATACTAGAATGACCGAATGGAAAACGTTTCTTTTGAATTACAAGTGCGTGTTGTTGGAACTGAATAGCTTCATCAAAATTATTTTTCTCTTTTAATACTTCGGCAATATTGATGAAACTATAAGAAATAGAGATATGATCGGATGGATATTTGTTTTGACGTATTTTTAGTGCTCGTTTATAGAAAACAAGTGAATCATCATAATTGTCTTGAATATAAAAGATTTGAGCAATATTGTTAATAGTTGAAGTCAATTGAATATGATCAGATGAAAAATAATCTTCTTGAAGTTTTAGTGCTCGATTATAGTAATCAAGAGCTTCATTATATTGATCATGTGCCTCTTTAACATTTCCAATGTGATTGAGACAATTAGCAATATGTGAAGAATACGATGGATAATATGTCTCTAACATAGTCAGAGCTTGTTGATAAACTTCGAGAGCTTTTTCATAATTAATTTTTTCATTTAACTCTATATCACCAATATCAATTAAAAAGCAAACAATGTTCAAATGAGCAGGTGAATAATAATTCATTAACATTGTCACCGCTTGTTGATACAATTCTAAAGATTCATCATACATTTCTTGTTCGTTTCTAATATTAGCGATACCCTGTAGAATCTCAGCAACAATAAAATGACCCGATGGGTACAGCTTTCTTGCCATTCTCATCATACGTTGATAAATATTAAATGATTCATCAAATTTTTCCTGTTTATGAAGAAGATAAACAATAGTTTGAAGAGTTTCAATAATGTATATATGATCTGATTGATAATATTTTTCATAGATAGGCATGGCTCGATTTAAATAATCAAGTGCTTCATTATGATTATCTTGATAAAGTAAAGTGATACCAATTTGATTTAAATTCATCGCAATATCAACATGATAATCATTATAATATTCTTCTCGGATTTTTAAAGCTTCTTCAAGAACGATCAAAGCCTCATCATTCCTATTTCTTCTACGATGAATTCGTGCAATATTTTCTAAACTATTAGCAACGTATGCATGATTAGGAGAATAATATTGTTTTAGAATTGTCAATGCTTTTTCATGAAATTCGTATGACTCTTCATAATTACCTTGTAAATGTAAAATTTCACCAATATTGGTGAGAACTAAAGCAGAATCTTTTATACGCATTGGATCTGTTTTCATCATTCGATCATAAGCACGATCATAAAATATTCTTGCTTTGTTCCATTCTCCTTTCCAATGATGAACTTGACCCATTGAATGTTCAATCCATGCTAAATCTTCATGATTAGAAGATAAACTATTCATCAGAAATTGAAAATATTTTTGTGATTGATTCCATTCATTCATATCACACATTAATTTACCAAAAATTATTGAAATACTCACATTTTCTATTTGACGATGTGTATCTTCAATATATTTTTCCTTTATAAATTCACCATCATTAGTGGCAATCATTTTAATCACCCATGTTTGTTTATCTTGATAAATACTTTCCAATCTAAATGTTGTATTTAAATCGAATAAAACTTCTTCTTTTTCATTCGATCGAGTTAGATCAGTAAAGATATGATTATTACCCATTTCTTTTAGATTACATTCAATTTGTAATAAAACATCAATTCGATCTTTAGTGACATTTTTCGATAATGAATTAAGAAATAAAAATCCTTTGATTGATAAAATTTTTCCTTGATTTTCTTTTAAATAATTAAATTCATTTTTTGATAATTTCATTTCTTGAGAAAAAACAAAATTTTCTACACCAGATTCAACAATTTTTCGATGTTCACGAGATAAACATTCGCTTAAATCACTGAGAAAATATCTTAAATGATAAAGTTGATCAATATCTTTTGTTTGTAATGCTTTATTAATCATTTTCTGAAGAGAAGAATTCTTTCGATAACAATAAATAGCATCATTTGATTC